CTAGGTTACCTAGGTCTCATGAGTCATGAGCAGGTTTATTAGAGTCTCGCGGGTCGGTACGGAGAGGTCTGTATTTATCCTCGAGAGGCTACAGAACCTTTAGGAAAACTTCACATTCTTGAATTCTTATCGTGCATCCTTGATTCAGCTTGAAAAGAAACTCTTGAAATTCCTTCCATGCGTTCGTATGCGCGCATGAGCGCTCAGTATCAGATATGCCTTGATGGCTTGCGATTCCCCGATTGAGGGGCGAGATGTAATCTCTGTGAGTTTATGTTGGGCCAGTCTGGAGGACTTGAGGTCGAAAATTTCCCTATGGCTTGAGCACCGAGGTGCTGATTGTGTGAAAAGTGTTTTGAACTTATACGTTCGGTATTGTCCCTATTAGTGGAAGTGGCGGCTGGATAGCCACGTGATGAGTATGTTAGTACTGCAAGATGTATCTATGTAACTTGGAAGTGACGAGGATGGTCTGCTGGATGATAGATGAACTATTAGGTGTTTGATTTCCATCGTGACTGGATGTGTGGCCCCGAGTTATGGGCGCGTGAAGAATCTTTTCATGTCTTCCAGTTGGAGTGAAGTAAATTTCATGTTGCAGTATGAGTTCAGACTCAGGAAGACTAAGTGACTACAGTCAGTTTATGACGGTGGAATGTATACAGAAATGTTATATTGAGGCGAAGCAGGTGGGCTACCTCCTGCGGAGTGTTCTAAAGTGGTGTGATCCCTATGTGTATGTTAGAAGATCTCATGTGTAATCGAAAAACTACGTTTTGAGATTTGAAATTTCGGGTCGCTTAAGAGAGTGGGCTTCACTGTTACGGGGATGAATGCGAGATTTGCAGAAGATTTTCAGTACTAGATGATTTGTGTTTTCACAAGCTTACGAAGGATTTGAGTCTAATCTCACTATGGTATTGTGGCATCAATAGAGTATAAGTGTTATGAGTTGTTGAAGGTATTCTGATCTATGGCTTCGAGCCAAGTGGGGGAGATTGCTATTGATTAGTTGATTGCTCGGTTATGTGCTATGTTGGTTCCGATTTGAGGCGTGTGGGAATCAGTTCTGGTTGCGGAGATTGAGCCCGAGGATGGCTCGAGTAAAAGGAAAATTTTGACTAAGGATAGGTTGTGTGCTGCAGTGTCAAAGTGCCAATGAGGCGCTGGTTGTTCGGTTCTGTTGATCGGGTTAAGTGCAGTGTGAATAGAGTGAATGACTCTAAAAAATGATTCTAATGTGTTCAAGATGCTTCATGTAGCATTTGGATATCTCAAGGTCGTATGTGTGGTTAGAAGCCGAGTTATCAATGGAAGAGTTCAAGACTTATGGTATTTCTCTGTTAATTATGGGATTCTATGTATTAGTATCAGGAAGATAAAGGTAACGGACCTAGATTCGCAGGAAGTTCTTAAGAGTAAAGCATTCTGGAATGTGGTGTTTCTGGGAATATTTGAGAGAGTATTTAGCGGCTTGTGGGTCTTAGACGCTGTGGTCTTATGCTTGGGTCTCGTGTGGTGAGCCTGGGTTGAGGAATTGTAGTGCTACAGCAAGATGAGATATCAAGTTGAAAATGAATCAGAAGGAAATTTAGATAGATGAAGTAGCTTAATAGTAGACCGAATCGGTATGGAAAGGATATGATTAATTCTTTGTATGTGTTCGAGGTAATGAGTTCTTACAGGTATTCTGCAGCACTGCTCTTGGGTTTTGATGGCGTTCTTAGCTTGGTCTAGTTAGAAAGATTCAGTCTTGGCAGTTTAATTTGTCCAAACGAAATTGGGAGAGTTCTTGTTGATTTCGACCGTGGTTGGAGAGGTGCATTTTCTACGAATGTCAGAGGCATGGGATGTGTAATGATTTTTCTTCTAAATGGGATCAATGGATGTTCTTGGCTAGATGAGTTACAGTTCAGTTCTGAAAGGATGTTCATAAAACTCTTAGGCAACGGGTAGCCTCAGATAATCAAGGAAATGGTACTGCTAATTGGAAGTGATTTGACGGGAGTATATGTTTCAGAAAAAGGGTAATGTGATTAAACTGATGATACTTCGATAGTATTACGACACTTTCTTGTTGGGTCGACTGGTGATATTCGGGTTGCTTGGTGGCACAGGGAAATTTTAGACTATCTATCGTGGGATGATTGGGTATTAAAGGTGTGGCATGTGTTTGGACGGCAAAATTGGGATCGAATATGATGATTCATGTGCTGGGTGTATGTGGAGACGGAAGTTTTCATATTCAGGCTATGATGTGGTATGTTAGATTCAGATGTGATGTTGGGGTTTAGACCTGTTGTCTCAGCGTCGGGATTATTCTGGACTATTACGCTATGGACTACGCCGGAAATGCCACAGGATGAGTGGCGAGGTGCGTTGGATTATGTTCTAGTAGAGTGGGTATAGTCCAAAGACCCAACGGATGGCTGGGAAGGACAGTTTTTCTTAATTTGGGCCTTCGTGATGGATGTCAGTGCAAAAGTTTTTACCATGGATTCAATTCCAGTGTGGAAGGACCTTCTGATGTGTTTCATGTCGTCGGGCGAGGTTATGGATTTCGATATTAATTTGGTGCCTGGCACCGTATCGTACGGCTCCGGCAGGAGTTATTGTAGTGGAAGGAGCAGCTTCAGGCTTCCTTGATAATGAGTTCGTTGGCAGGCCAATGTGGATGCGTGTTCTAGCTTGAGTCGACTTGGTTGGCCCCGAATTGTATTGTTAAGGGACAGGTTGATCTGACCGTTGTTGAGCTTACTAGTGATCTGGGAGATCTATGAGTTTTCTTTCTGTGTTGCGAGACATTATGATTGGTTGGTTATGGGCACATATGGTGCGATTCTATTGGGGTTCATAGTAGAAGTCGAGCGGGGAGAATAATTGGGTGTTGCTCGGCGAATGGCTTATCGGTTATGTCCTATCGAGCTTGCGTGGTATATGTTACTTGTTTCGCCGAGGGTGAAATGATTTGCTTTGGTTCCAAACATCAAATTGTGCATGGTTGTCAATTTCGAGTATAGTGACTTGAGGTGTCTCACGTGGAGCCATGTTTGGTTAGGATCGCGCATTGCAGCGAAGCTATGTGGAGATATGACCTTGTGGGTTAGATTCGTGTGTTCCATTTCTATGATGCGAGGCGGGTTCTCAGCCATGTGTTGTGATGATACTGGTGAGTTTGAGGTACAACTCTTTCGTTTGAGTCAGTTTCATGATGTGAGTATGTTCGGATTGTTGCTTATTGGTGCGCGGACTGTGCAAGTTGTGGCTTTAGCCTGTCTTGGTGTATCATGTCACCAGAGTAATTGTGTTGATTAGACGAGGTCGTTGGGGTCTGTAATGAATACAAACGGATTCGATTTCAGCATGTTTGATGGATAAATATCGAGGTTTGGTTCAGAAATTTGCCATGGTCCTTGCCAAGGAGAAGTAACCTTATGGATGACTGAATTGAGGAATGGTTACGGTTTATTGCGTGTTTCATTTATCATTGGCAGTATATGGAAGTGTTGGAATGAGACTTTAGTTGATAAGACGTTTTCTACCGGTATTCGGGTGTTGTGTGCAGCTGCTGTGAATGGAAGTTATCACTACATGTGTTTGAGTTACGTGGTATATCAGATAATTGCACTTGAGGTTGCAAGCAGGGGTTATTACAGCTGGTTCGGGCCTATTCGGAGTATAGGTGTGAGGTTTTAATCGTATTGATGGTTTTAGAAGTGAAAATGTTGTTCTATGATTTATGGGCTAGACTGGATTGTGTAATTCCAGTTATAATGTGTTATCAGACCTATATGAGATAGGGTGACATGGGATCACCCCCGGGTATATGCATGGTAAAGTTTTTCAGCTACTGGTTGGCTTCTAGAACAACTCTGGGTACGTTCGAGGACGAACGTGTGTTTAAGTGGGGGAGGATGTAACGACCCGACCGGTCATTTTGAGCTTTTGCGCTTTGATCGCCAGTTCTCAGGCGTGACTTGCCCCGTGTAATGTGTTATGACAAAGGTAGATCATTGGATTTGGTTTTCAGGAAAATTTGGAATGAATTTGAAAGAACAATCTCAGTTGAAAGCCTTGAATTTGGAAGGTTTAACCAAGAGTTAACTTATTTGTATACGAGTTCGGACCGGAATTTTTATGATTTGGTTAGCTTTTTTTGGTGATTTATGACTTAGGAGCGTGATCGGAATTGGTTTTGGAGGTCCAGTGTAGAATTAGGCTTGAATTGGCGAAGTTAGTATTTTGGCGATTTCCGGTTGATAGATGGGATTTTGACCCGAGGGTCGGAATGGGATTCTGAGAGTTGCTGTAGCTTCGTTATGTCATTTGTGATGTGTGTGCAAAATTTTAGGTTATTCGGACGTCGTTTGGTCGGGTTTCTGATCGAAAGTGTATTTTGGGAGTTTTTGGAAAACTTAGGCTTGAATTCGATGAGTTTTGAGTACTGCGATATTGTTTGAGGTGTTTTGATGATTGGAACATGTTTGAATGATGTTATGGATTATGTTTGTATGTTTGGTTGAGGTCCCGAGGCCCTCGGGTGAGTTTCAGGTGGTCAATCGGGCCATTTTTGGAGTTTTGGAAGTGCAGAAATTAGTTCCAGCAGTTTTGCAGAACTTTTTGGTCTTGCATTCGCGATAGAGGAGCCCCCGCGTACTCGCGAAGAGTCTGTTTGATGTGAGTAGAGAGGTTTATCCTTCGCGTTCGCGAGGCATGTCGCGTTCGCGAAGGGTTCAATACTGTTCAACGCGTTGCTGATGGTTTATATTTGCGTTCGCATAAGAGGGAATTGGTCAGGTGGATTGGTAGTGAATTATTTGCTTCGCGTTTTGCAGAAAGTGGTGGCGCATTCGCGGGTGTTTGCCTGGGTAAGCTACGTAGTTTTGCGAGCTGGTTTGATGGCGTTCGCGGTAGGAGAATTTTGAGTTCAATGAGAATTTTTGTGCTTCGCGAACGCGAGGCTTTGACCGCGTTCGCGAGAAGGATTTTTAAGGTGCTAGGGCAAAATGTTTTATAAAGCGCTATTTCCGCGATTTTGAGCGGTTTCAAGAACCTCCCATGTTGAGCGATTTTGAGTGCTGGGAGAGCTAATTGAAGTTAAAAGAGATTCAAGGGACCATCACCTTGAGTAATATTTTTGAACTCAAATACTCGTGTCTTTATGAAAATCTAACACTAGAAATTTATGGAAATTAAGCCAAAAATTGAAGAACTAGGGCCTTGGAAATTGGAGAATTTTTGATTTGGATTTAGATAGGCGCCAGTTGGGCTCGGATTAGGAGTTCTTGATATGTATGAATCGTGGAAAGATAGGGATCTATTGATCTGTGAAAATTTCTGAGTTGTCGGAGGAAGTGGGCCCGGGGCTTCGGTTTTTGGTTAATTTTCGGGATTTGTGCCGTTATTGTTTGTTATCGCTTGGCTTCGTTTCCCTTAGTATAGTTGTGGATGTATTCGCTTTGTCTTTGGTAATTCCACGCGCGTGAGGCGATTTGAGGGGAAAAAGGCATCGAAGCTAGAGCATTTTGCCGCGTTCGAGGTTAAGTTAATGATTGTAAATGTATATCCTGAGGGTTTAAAACCCAGATTTGCACATCACTAGTGCTCATTTGAGGTGACCTGCAAGCCGGAAGCGAGCGGGTAGACCGACCGTTGGGGATTGTACTTGGTCGTTCGATTGACTGATTTTACCCGTGTAATTGACTCAGACTTATTTTTATCATCAAAGACTTGGGGCGATTGCTTATATTTTGGGGCTTCGTGCCAGCTTTTTTGAAACCCCTTCGGGGGAGGTCGTTCTATTTCCTTACTGTTTTTGACTTATATACTTGAACTCAGTCATGTAATTTTTTTTTCACTGTTTTTCAAAACTACAAGCCAAGTTTATCTTGCGTTAACCTTGAAATGTATTTTAATAAACAATTTGGGATTGAGCAATCATGCTTTATTTGTTGCCCGAGTGGTTTATGTGATTTTGTTGACTGAGTTCAGGGCCGAGGGCCGTGTATGTGAGGTACTTTTTGGTCGGGCTGCAGCGCCGCAACATACTACTATATATATATATATACGGATCGGGTTGCACGCCGCAGCAGTGTTATACGGATACTGGTATGAGGCCAAGGGCCTAGATTTGATGCCACGAGATGGCTTGATATTGCGCTTGGGCCGTAAGGGGCCCCTCCCGGAGTCTGCACACCCCCAGTGAGCGCCGTCGACGATAAACGGAGCGGGATGCACGCCGTAGCGGTATGTGGATCGGGCTGCACGCCGCAGCGGTACTAGTACTGCTCTCTGTGTTTACTTTATTTTATTTGCTTGCCTTACATGTTGTCGTGCTACTTCATGAGATATCTACCAGAATGCCTGACATTATCTGTTAATTGAGTGTGGTGCCCGAGGGGCGGACTTCTGTGCTTATCTGTACTATTTGAATTGCATTCGTTTGCATACTATTGAAAAAGTCATTTCCAAAAGAGGTTTTAAACTGAGGTAAGATATTTCTAAAGATCTCACAACTTCACTGTTTTTCTCAAAAGGTTTTACACTACTTCTATATAGCATGATGATATGACATACGTGATTTCTTACCGCTCAGTTGTTATTTACCTTTATTACCCACTGAGTTGGAGTACTCACTTTACTCCCTGCACCCCGTGTGCAGATGCAGGTATTTAATCACCCGGTAGCGGGTTTGGCTGATCAGAGTCAGAGATATAGGAGTTTATCGAGGTGACTGCCGGCGTTCGCAGGATCGTTCTTCTCCCTTTGTGCATTATTCTTGATTAGTGTATTTTAGACCTTGAGGTTGTACTTACATTCTAATAGATGCTCGTGACTTGTGACACCCCGATTAGGGCTGTGCGGGGTTGTAATTCCGCTAATTAATATTATTAAGTCATATTTTAGATGTTTATTCATGTTTAAATTATTTTTGAAAAGACGAGTTGGGTAAGTTGGCTGGCCTCATCTTCACGAGATGCGCCATCACGACCAGTGCGGGGTTTGGGTCTTGAAACAAAGTCAAGGATCGTGATGCACACCCCTGTGGCCAAAAAACAGCAACTAAAACTGGTCTAAAACACCCAGAAACTCAACCGAACCACTCGTGACCCAATCCGAACATACCAATAAATCCCAAAACACAACATGGACCTATTTGAGGCCTCAAATTACACATAATAACATCAAAATCGAATCGTCGCTCAAGATCAATTTCTTAAGGTCATAAACTTCAAACTTCGAACCAAGCGTCTGATTCAAGCCTAATCAATCCCGAATGAACCCAAATTTTGCATACAAGCTCCAAAGATATAACAAACCTATTCCAACTCCCGAAACAACAATTTGAACCCGATATCATCAAAGTCAACTCTCGATCAAACTTATGAACATTCCAAAATCACCATCAGGACCTAACGGAACCATCAAAACTCCGATCTGAGGTCAAAGTCCAACTTGGTCAATTCTTCCAACTAAAAGCTTCAAACATGAAATTCATTCTTTTAAACTAATTTTGAATTAAAAAACCAAAACCGAAGATACACACAAGTCATAATACATCATACATAGCTACTAATCCCAACCACTGAGCAAAGTACTCAAATTGACCGGACGGGTCGTTACAAGTGTCTTTTTCTGAGTACCAGCTTAGGGTTCATACCAGGCTGTTCTACTACAGATGTTATCCACCTTAGCAGGAGGTTGGTGGAAAAGTACATGGATAGGAAAAAGGGCATGGTGCTTATTGACCTAGAGAAGGGGTACGGCAAGGTCCTTAGAGACGTTCTTTGGAAATGCCTGAAGGTGAAAGGGGTGCCAGTAGCGTATATTAGAGCGATAAAGGATATGTATGATGGAGCTATGACTCATGTAAGGACTGCATTAGGTGACTCCGAGATTTTTTTGGTGGTTATGGGGTTACACTGCACTCAGCCTGTTCTTACTTGCCTTGGCGATGGACGCCTTAACACACCATATTAAAGGGGAGGTGCCATAGTGATTGTTGTTCACTAATGATATAGTTTTGATTGATGAGATGCGAGGTGGAGTTAATGAGAGACTGGAGGTATGGAGGCAGGCCCTGGGATGCGGACGTGGAAGTGAGGCTCGACTCATAAGTCATCCCCAAGGGAGAAAGTTTCAAGTACCTATGGTCAATTATCCAGGGAGATGGGGAGATCGATGAGGATGTCATGCACCGTACTAGGGTGGGGGTGGAGGATATGGCGATTAGCATCTAGAGTCCTGTGTGACAAGAATATGCCACCAAAACTTCAACATAAGTTCAACAGAGCAGTGATTAGACCGGCCATGTTGTATGGGACTGAGTGTTGGCTAGTCAAGAATTCATATATCTAGAAGATAAAGTAGCCGAAATGAGGATGGAGAGATAGATGTGCGGGTATACTTGATTGGATAATATTAGGAATAAAGATATTCGGAAGAGGGCGGGCGTTGCTCCCCTGGACGACAAGATACGAAAATCAAGGCTTAGATGGTTCGTGCACGTGCGGAGGAGAAGCCTAGATGCCCCCATTAGGAGGTATGAGCGGTTGTATTTGGCAGGTAAGAGAAGATGTAAAGGGCACCCGAATAAATATTGGGGAGAGGTGATTAGGCAAGACATGACACGACTTCAGATTTTTGTGGACATGGCTCTTGATAGGAACATGTGGAGGTCGAGCATTAAGGTTGTAGGCTAGGGGGTAGTCGACTGTTTTTCCTTTTTGTACCGGATAGTATGATAGAGTTTTTTCTAGGACTGCTAGCAGTTTATGTTGTGTTCACATCATTTTTTGTTCTTGCATTGTATTGTGTTATTGCCCTTCCACTTTTTGCCGTCTTTTACGATGCTGATATTAATTTTCTGGTTTTTTTATTGTTACAACTATTCTTTTGGTCTTTTATGATATTATTGTCCATTCTGTTGAGCCGAGGGTCGCCCGGAAATAGCCTCTCTACCCTTCCTGGGTAGGGGTAAGGTCTGCGTATACTCTACCATCCCCAAACCCCACTAGTGGGATTTTACTGGGTTGTGTGTTGTTGTATGCTCAGGTTTGATTATAGATCAGTTCTTTAATTTATCGTTTCGTATTTATTGCTTATTTTAAAGAGGTTGACTATTTTGGATGTTGAAGTTTGATATCATGGCACCACATTTGAAGTTAAATTATTTCCTGCATTATTTATTATTCGAATTTATATTATCACATGGTGAGGATGAGATTTAAAGCACGAAGGGTAATATCGTGCCATTTCTTTCATATTATTACATGATGACAAGGAGAGTACAAAACACGAAGGGTGATGTCGTACTATTATATTCATGACATTGCATGGTGAGGACGAGAGTAAAAGCATGAAGGGTGATGCCGTGCCATTTCATTCATATTATTACATGAAGAGGACGCGAGCAAAAGCATGAAGGGTGATGCCGTATTATTATATTCATGATATTGAATGGTGAGGATGAGAGTAAAAGCACGAAGGGTGATGCTGTGCCATTTTCTTATCATTATTTAATTGATTTTTGGTTTTGGTGATTTACTTGGTTTATTTGCGTCTTCATACTTGCTGTAATTATTATATCTTCCCCTATTCGTATGTCCCCTCCCAATTAGTATTTTTTCATTCTTCTCGTTATTATGCTGCTTTATATATGTGTGTACATGTTTATTTACGTAGGTGTCTTGTCAAAGCCTCATCACTACCTCGCGGGGTTAGGATAGACACTTATGGAGTACCTTTGGTCGGTTGTAGTCATACTACACTTTTGCACTTGTGCAGATACTGGTATTGGTCCCAGCGGTGCTTGAGGTGCATCGGCTCGAATCACTTTCATACGGAGATTCGAGGTAGATATGTTGGCATTTGCAGAACATAAAGTCTCCTTCCATTTCCTACTTTTACGTTTTGTCTCTTTCGAAAAGTTGTATTTATTTCAGACTATGTTTGTAAACTTCTGCTTGCTCGTGTATTCGTGACTCCGGATTTATAAGAGTACTTATTATCGAGTGGATTATATTAGCACTGTGTTAGATTTGGCATTTATTTCTCGTTGTATATCATTATCTTGTTTTTAACTGTTAAAATTGGTTGGTTAATTATTTCACATCGGCTTGCCTAGCAAGTGGATGTTAGGCGCCATCACGACCCTGAGGTTGGGATTTCGGGTCGTGATTGGAGGGAATTTTCAAGGGTTGGATCAAGGTAAGTATTTTTTACTCGGATTTCTTATTAGTCATGATTCCATTATTTTTTTTATTATTTAATTAATGTTTTGAGTTGGAGAAATTAGGGAATTTTGTGAAAATTTCCTAAACCATAAATTGAGGATTTGAATGTTGATTTCAGGTCGGAATTGGATAATATTAGTATGGTTGCACTCATATCGGAATGGTGTTCGAATTTTATAAGTTTGGTCGGGTTCCGAGGTGTGTGCCCGGGTTGAATTTTGGAGTTCTCTAAATATTGCAACCTTATTATCCAGAATCATTTCCTATGGTTTGTATTTATGGTATTAAGTTATTTTGGCTAGATAGTCGTCCGGAGTTTGATTTTTGCGGAAAAGGCTTACTAGCATGTTTATTTAGTTTGTTTGAGGTATGTTTCTTGCCTAACTTTGTGTGGGGAAACTACCCCTTTGGACTTGGATTGATTTGTGTTATTTGGATTATGTGAAAGATGTGTATACGAGGTGACGAGTGTGTGCACAGGCTTATATATGGTAGTTTGACCGGTTTAGACTCTTAGACTCTTTCATGCATCCAATTAAAAATTAAAATATCATGTTAGATCTTTCACTGTTAAATTGCTCTTACATGTTTTTCTTGATGTTGTTATCACACGCTCTATCCTTTATTTTGAAATATGCTCTTATATGCCTTAATTGCCTTTGTTATCTCTCTTATTGTTATGTTACCTCCTTTATTGCCGGGTAATTCTTGTTTGAAGTTGTGGATTATTGAGATATCTTTCATTTTTGAGTAATTCTCACTCATTTTTTTATTATTGATATTCTTGTTCGTATTGTGGTTGAGCCTTGGGCTATATATTAAGGTAATTTCGGTATTGTTGATTTTACCAAGTTGTGGCATATGGGCAGTTGTGGTGCCTGTTGTTATTGAGTTTTGATATTGATGCTGATAGGTTACAAGTGCTTTGGTCAAAAGTACTTTGCTTTATGTTTTGATGATCTAACAAACTTACTATCCAGAACCAGATAAGAAACCTGTTACACATTTACAGGATCTTAAGATCACTAGGTTCGAGTTTGGGATCCAGCTTGCGTTATGCTTCAACTCGACAGAGTGGAAGGAACAGCTGAGGGAATAGGTCCCTACCAGTTCCCGAGGAGACTGTGCAATGTCAACTCTCCAGTTCGAAAGTTGCTGCCAGCACACGCTACAGTGCAGGAACAGTGCTGCAATCAACTTTCCAGGGAAGATTTTTTACTTACCTTGCTTACATCATTGTAAGTGATGTCACACAAGTATATATACAATCAAGGAAGGTAAAACATATTGACTTGAACATTTTAGAAGCTTACTCACATGATTATCCAGCAAGCAAGTTTCAAGTGCTTCAAGAACAAAGAACAAAATAACTACGGACCAGTTCCCACGTCGAGTTATTGTATGTCCTTAGTTGAGTTGTAACTTTGTAATAGTTCTTCAATTGTAATTCCTAGCTTGCTTGTTTAGAAGCATTCTGTAGGAAACTCTTTGTAAACCTTAAACCTGTGTGTTTGAGTTTTAGCTAGAGTTATTCATGTCTTAAAGTCTTTGTAATAGAGTTATTACAAAGTGGCTTGTAATAGAGTATTACAAGTTAGTGAGGGATTAAGAGGTTAATTCCTAGGTTGCATAGGTTGTAATCTAAAAGTTGCACAATAGTGAAGTTGAAATCCTACAAGGGTAGATCGTGGTTTTTAATCCCGTTAAGCTGGGAATTTTTGGGAATTTTCCACGTAAAATTCCTCTTGTCATTTGTTTACTGATTTTTTATGTGTTCTAGTGAACCTGATGGAGAACGTGGTTCTCTATAGAGTTTGGTGGAGCCTTATATTCTATCAATTGGTATAAGAGCAGGTTCTTTCTATCAGGTTAATACCTAGAAAGGATCCTCATGGCTGCTCCTCCAAACTTAGAAGAAGGCTAGTTTACTTACAGACCATCTAGGTTCAATGAACAGTACTATGGATGGTGGAAAACAAGAATGCATGACTTCATTATGGCTGAAGATTCTGAGCTATGGGATGTTATATGTCTTGGACCCTTTCCCCCTACCAAAAACCTTGGCAACTCACTAATAGCCATTCCCAAGATAAGGAAATAATTCAATGATGCAGATAGAAAGGCCATAGAGAAGAACTTTCTTGCAATGAAAATTCTGGTGTGTGGTATTGGTCTTGATAAATACAATAGGATATTAGCATATCAGTCAGCCAAAGAAATTTAGGAAGCCCTTCAGACAACTCACAAAGGAACAACACATGTCAAGCAATTCAAAATTGATATGCTCACAACTTAATACGAGCTCTTCATGATGCAAGACGATGAATCTGTCCAAGAAATGCATACCTGGTTAACCTCCATCATTAATGAGCTTCACTCCCTTAGTGAAACTATTCCAAGAAACAAGCTGGTTAGAAAAATCCTCAGTGTGCTGCCCAATTCTTGGGAAAGCAAAGTGACGTCATTACAGAGGCGAAGGACTTGCAGGAGCTAACTATAGATGAGCTTGTTGGCAATCTAGAAACATATGAAATGAAAAAGAAGAAGGACAGTGAAAGAAAAAAGTCGAAGAGGGAGAAGAACCTGGTCCTCAAGACAGACATCAATGACTCAAGTGGTGAACACGGGGACATGGCCTACTTGACAAGAATATTCCAAAAGATGGTTCGTAGGAATGGAGGCATTCCAAAAAGGGAAAGTTCCATCAAGGCAAAAAATTATGACCTCTGTCGTCAATGTGGCAAG